CCAAATTATTGGGACGCCATCTAGAAAAAGATGACTCATCTCCAGTCCCTTCTTTATAAAGTTTTATATTAGCAAACAAAGATTCAATAGGAGTCACACCAATCACTTTAAGATCTTCATTATTATCATCACGAAAACTAGAAGAATAATGTTTTTTCTAGCCAATCTCTCTTAGCATGCATGCTAGCGGTTCTCTCTCTACTTTCATTAATAGAAATTTTAATAGCTTTCAGAGGCTCATTAATATCAATATTGGGTAGCATATATCTAATCTTAAAATAATCAATCTCATGAGAAATTCTATCAACGTTTCCAACCAAATCATCAATCTTAAGCAATTTTTCTTCTACCATAGCCTTGAAAATCTTTTGAGAATTAATGAAATATCTAATATTATTCTCAAGATCAGAGGGTATCTTATTGTAATTTCCATAAGAATTGTTGTAGGAATTACCATAATTATTAGAGGAATTACTAGGAAACATCCTAAGATTAAAATAGCCTCTATACACGTTATTAGCAAAATTGTTACTACCGACAAAATTCACATCCATAGATTCATTATTATTATCAATCAAAGTGGACAAAGGCGTATCATTAGGATCAATAGGAGCACTCTCACTAGCAATCAATTTCATAAGTTCATCCAATTTCCACTCAAAGTATTAATTTCTTCAATCGCATGCACTTTTTTACTAGTAGATGATCTTTCGATATGGCACTGAGGAGTAAGTTGCCATAATATTATCTCGCAGTTTAGTAGCTTCTCCTAATGTAATTTCTATAAAAGTACCACCCACAACGGAGTTTAAAAGATGTCTAGATGCAAAATTCAATCCGACATAAATTTTTTGTATCATCATCCATAAACTTAAACCATGAGTAGGGCAATTTCTTATCATCAATTTCATCCTCTCCCAAGATTGTGCAACATGTTCATGATCAAGTTGCTTAAAATTAGTTATATAGTTCCTAAGGGAGATGATCTTAGCGGGAGGAAAATACTTGGAAATAAAAGCATCTTTACACTTACTCCATGAATCAATACTATTTTTAGGCAAAGATGAAAACCAAGTTTTAGCACGATCTCGTAGTGAGAACGGAAATAGCTTCAATTTAACAATAACATTATCCTGCATATCACACAACTCAAGAAAGTATTTTAGATGGGATGCAACATCTTCATTGGGACTACCGGAAAATTGTTCTTTCATAACAAGATTCAACAAAGAGGCATTAATTTCATAAGATTCCGCACTATGGCTGGAGCATCAGAGTACTAATAAAATCATTATTATTAGTGTTGGAAAAATCACACAACTTAGTATTTTCTTGAGACATCTCAACAAAGCAAGCAATTTAGCACAAAAGCAAACAAAAAGCAAAAGAAAAGACGAACAGAAAGAAGGCGAATAAAAAGACAAATATTTTTGTGTTTTTCTGAAAACATTTTAAAGTCGGGGAGAGGAAAACGAGAGGCAAATGACAAATAATGTAAGTGCAAGAGATGAGAGTATATGATAGGTACTTGGTAGGGAAGATGTAGATACTCCCCGACAATGACGCCAGAAATTCTTCCTGCTACTTCTTGAGCTTGCGTTGATTTTTTCCTTGAAGAGGAAAGGGTGATGCAGCAAAGTAGAGATAAGTATCTCCCTCAGTTAAAAACCAATGTATCAATCCAATAGGAGGACCACACAAGTCTCCAATTGATGCACCTGCACGAACTAACAAACACTTGCACACAACATCAAAAAGGGTTGAAAATACCAAAAATATCGAAAGAATCAGTGAGAGGAAGATTATACGACTATAAAAGTTTGACCTAAGGCCCATTGATTTTGATTAAAAGTTTATTACAGGTTACTTGTGATATATATGGGGATGACCGGACGAGGTGCTGGAGTAGCAAAGTCGGCGCTGACGGCCAGATGCACGGTGGATTTGCGAAGGCGGCTGCAATCAATCTCATCGCCGAAGCAGCCGGCGGGGCCTCGCTATTCTCGCTCGAAATCATGGAGACACGAGCGCCTAGCTTAGCGAGTAGGTCTGCCTTGTTTTATTTATCTAAATTTCTACAAAGAGGCCCAAACAGAGTGGTGTACAAGTATTGGGCTAACTGGGCCCCTACTACCTTTTTATCAGAACAACCGGCCACAAGAGTTTCTCTCGATTGTGAATCACGAAACGGGAATGCACCTAGCAGCCGGCATACCAGAACGGTTTAGACGATTTTGTCTCTGTCGGGGCCCCTCGATTTTGGGGGCCCTATGTGATCGCACTTCTCGCACACCCTTCTCAAAGGACCTGCAAACAAGGTAGTTGGAGACGGCTAATCCAAAGAATACACGAGCATAATCACAGTCCACGGGTGCTCCGGCTAATGAACAGCATCTTCTTCCAGATCGACCTCCACAAGCTCCACGTCATCATCATAGTCCTCTCCTCCATCGAGCTCCTCCGTTCCTTCCCCGTCCCGTCCATCGCGCTCGCGACCCACAAATGTCGCGCCCATCGTCCCTGTCATCTTGAACTGGTCCCAGATTGCCAACGTATTCAGCCTTGGGTTGACTCGTGTAGCAGCCTCGGATCCCCCGTAGGGAGGCTTCGGGCGAGCAGCATCCACAGAGGGAGACTCGTATGCGCCCCACAAGCAACCAGGTTCTGCTTGGTCACCACCGGCATCTTGCCCGAGTTGTGCGAGGTCGTCGACATGGTAGCAGGCAGCAGGTCCATAGTAGATGCAGGAGTGCAATCTAGTGCACTTGTGGTGTGCCCTTGGCTGCCTCTGCAAAACCCTAGATGGTTTTTTTGTAGCCGAGCGCAGGTACTTCCTTGTGTAAAGGGGCTAGGGCACCTGGAGTACCGATCGGTGACGACAAGATCGTCGGGCCCATCAGACCCTGACGACCTCTTAGTGGACGGGGCCGCAGTGGTTCCAACTGCCCACTTGGGAACGGGAGCAGAGGAGATGCCACACATGGCCGGCGCGACGGCCAGCGGCGGTGGCAGCAGGCTTTCGCCTCCTGGTCACCGGGGGTGGGAAACCCTAGCATACGGGCCACAACCAAACTTGGTGGTGTAGGTAGTTCTTACCCATGATAACCTTCCTAAGCGTAACTGTCATGGCAGCAAAAAAATATTGTTTTTCTGATCATGAGGAGACAATTGATCATGTATTTTTGTCATGTCCGTTTACTACATTGATCTGCCATATGATTCATGTTACGTAAAATTTAGCACCACCAATGAGTATTTCAAATCTGTTTCGAAACTGGTTAGGTGGCATTCATCATTTGTTGAAGGCGCAAATCCATGTGGGAGTTTGTGCCATTCCTTGGGCATTATGGAATTGCTAGAATGATTTCTTCTTGAACAGATCATCTTCTCCCAATTTTCTTGTAGGCTATCTACAGAGCTACAACTTCAATCCGTTTGTGGTCATTACTGTAGTGTGTGGCCGTGTGGGCGATTATGTCCTTTGGGTGCAACCGACTTGAAATGCTTGCGTTCAACTAGTTTGGCTAGCGAGCCACTCGTAGATTAGGTGGGTGAGCTATGTAATCTCATGTTTGACTGCTTGTGGTCGTGTTTTTTCGTTTATTTGTTTTACTTTGGACCTCATGACTTGAAATTATTTCATGCTTAATAATTTGGCTGTGTGCATCATGTGATGTAGAGGCCGGGGTACTCACCTTTTCAAAAAGATGCCTCTTGGCCATCTAGGGAGATCCCACACCCAGCTAAGTCTGCATGTGCCCGATAGAGTCACGAGCTTGCCAGACGACTCCCGTTGCAGCCACCTATCCCCCTAGATATGAATATTTTTGTTGTTTCCAACATGCCAAACATGGCCCTTTTTAAGTAGCTCGTAGCCGTGCTAAATGTTGTGCCAGGTTGCCAAAGAATTTCTTGTAAAAAGGTGTCCTCAATGCGTCCTATCGGGTTTTCAGCACCTGCACACAAAGACCATTAGGCTTGGTTAAACGTCTCCATGCTTGTCGAGCAACCAAAGTTTTGGTTGAAAACACTCTGAAATCTCTAAACCACCCATCTTTCATCTTGTGCACCATGATGCTAGACCATGACTTCCGGTGAGTTTTCCTCTTCCCTTTCGATGCACCCCACCAAAAATTCTGAACCATTCTATTGAGATTACCACACACTGACATGTGAAGTTCAAAGACCCCCCTAATATAGGTTGGAATGGTTAGTGCAACTACTTTAATCATCATTATTTTCATGCAAGCAAAAGAGTGTCACCCCGTGCAATGATGCGTTTGCTTAGCGCACTTGGATATTTTGGAATTTCCCTCTCAACAGTCGCCCTTCCAGAGTTGGCATGCCAAAGTATTTCTCCTCAAAAGTTGTCATCTGGACTTGCAAGGCAACATGTACAATCTTGGTTGTGCTCCAAGGAGTCCTTCCCACACATGATGCTACACTTGGATGGATTGATAAGCTCGCCGGTTGCACTCTCATATGTACTGATTATGTTTCCAACCTCATTTACCTCAGTTGTGTCTGCCCTAAAGAACAACAATCATCTATGAACAACACCCCGGGAG